CTTAAAAAAATCACTAATTACCCTCTTGGTACGTTTTGAGATTTCATTTCCAAAATTTTTCACCGATGTATGAAACTTCTTAAAACTGTTATGAGTCATACCTAAAGTCTTAAAAAAATCACTAATTACCCTCTTGGGACGTTTTGAGATTTCATTTCCAAAATTTTTCACCGATGTATGAAACTTCTTAAAACTGTTATGAGTCATACCTAAAGTATTTAATCATGTAAGAGAAATTATACATTTTAGAATCCTACATAGGCCGGAGTATCTTTAAAATTTCAGTCATCGCGATTGACGTCGGACTACCCGGCACTTTGACTTGCGTGGATTTGACCTTCCATACAAAGTGCTGCAAAAAACCATTCCGTGCAGAGAAATTCCGTCCGTGCTAGGATAATTGTACACACTCCACCTGGAACTAACTTTCTGGGAGGCGAGTTTCAGGTGGGGAGTGTATTAATTTCTTGGTAGGGGGTTAAGAAATGATATTTACAAATTTGTAAAATAGAATAATTTCGTGTTAAAGCTTTTAAAGAGCGTGAAAAGTATTAAAATGACTCAAGAAGATAGTAAAAATCTTAAAAGATATTTTGAAAATGATCCTCCAAGTTTTTTTGACGAGTTGACTGAGAAAGAAGGTTTGATAAGTTTAGTAGAAACTTTTCATGTTCAAATCAATAATGTAAAAATTAATATTTTTAAGTTGATGAAGTTTCAATCAAATTGTCATCAGAAGTGAAAGATTTATGGCCTTATCCTAACCGAGATGAAGCTCATCCTATTGTTCCTCGTGTTATAGTAGAATCATTGGTAATATTGCTTTGATCTTTAAGATTTCCAAAATTTAACTTAAAAAAATTGTTTCGACAGAATGATCCAATCGTTCAAGCAATCAGTAATCACTTTCCATCAGAAATTGAAAAAAGAAAACAAGCCAATAAAGAGTCATTGACGATGGATGATAGAGGAATTAAAACACTGATTAATGAGAAATGTTATCGTGAAGCTGTTGCATTAACAAGTCGATTGCTGACAAATTATGGACAAGGAACAACGGCATCTGCAACTATGAAACATTCAACGCATTCCCTTCAATTATGGCACACTCGTCTTGCTTTACTTATCAAAATCAATGAATTGGATATCGCAAAGCAAGAAGCTGAGGCATTTGGACAACTGTCTAGTCCTGATTTGTTTTATGAACATCAAAGCCCGCAGAATTTTAAAAGTAAATATGGAAGTATGGCAAGTTTTTCATTTCGATTGCTATTAGCTGGAGAGTTACCTTTAAAACTGAACAAGCCTCATGACGCTCTTAAAAATCTTTTAAATATTCTTGAAGTCACAGAAAAAATTTACAATTTCTTCATCGAGTTGAAAAAGGAAAATGAAGCTGAGTTTTGGAAAGATCGTAAAATTCGTGTTCAATGTCTTATGATTAATTGTGCAGCATATTTGAAAAAGTTCGATCTGGCACATCAACTTTATGAAAGCATTCGCAAGCTTCCCAATTTAAATGAAAAATTAAGAATGACTTTAGCATCGTCTTGGGGTCGAACTTTCCTTCTTTGTGGTGACATCAAATCTGCTGAAGAAAAATTTAAACTCTGTGAAGCGAAAGCAAATTCTCACATTGTGCAAACAATGATTGATCAAGGACTCATCGCTGTTGCACAGAATTCATATGAAGAAGCCCTACAAATATTTCAAAAAGCACACGAACTTGAGAAAGAAAATATTTTGGTGAGTTAACATAAATTTTATTAAATGTGAGTGAAGATAATTTAAGAAGAAACTTTTTTAAAAGATTCTCAACAACATTGCTGTTTGTTATTTGTACACTGGAAGAATGCACAATGCAATTAAAATCTACGAACAAGCAATTAATTTTAATCCAAAGCAAAGTATCAACGAAGCTGTTCTCTTGAATTGTGCAACATTATACGAATTGGAGTCGAACGAAGCAAAGAAGAAAAAACTTGATTTGCTTAAACTTGTGTCTGCAAACAGAGCTGATTTAGAAGTGTCAATTGAAGCTTGTTTAAAGTTGTGAGTTTGATAAATATTTAAACTTGTCGGTATTATTCAAATAAAAATTAAATTATTTTAAACATTTCATTCTTGCATTTCGTTTAATTAATATTTCTGAAATAAAAACGATTGATGAAAAAGTTAATCCAACTCCAAGAAGGATAAAAGGTCCAATAACATGAGATGGAGATAAATTAATTGGTCCAACATTATCTCTATGTCTTGAAAGTGCAATTTCCGCTTGGATTTTGTTATTTGTATTTCTCGTGACAACATCAAGCTCAACAAACTGTTGAATTCCACTTTGTGCTATTTGTAAGATCAAATCATCCAATTGTTCCATCAAAGGCCAAGTTTTAGTGCTCATAGCAACACAAAGTTCATAATAAATGTCGTTCAACATGATTTGATAGTTCTTGACTGTTTCCTCTGTTACATATTCACCGACTGCGTAGTGACCGTAAGGAAGCCGTTCAATGCTGAAACTTATATCTTGCCTAACGCCACGATATTGGAGAATCTCTTTAGAGAATGTTCGAAACTTATCTAGAAGCTTTAGTATCATGGGCTGTTGTGAATACATAAATTATAATAAAATTTCCAAATCACTTTAAAAAATTAAAAATGGTCAACCTGTGTTGCAAGTTGAAGAGAAAATATCCAAGCATCATGTGTTGAACCTGAAAGTTTACATGATAAATTTTTAATATCTATTAAATTAAACTGTAGATAAAAGTAATTATATTTATTACCCCATTCTGTATCACTATCTGCAAGCTCTTCAACAGTGTCAATTCCTTTTTCGTAGCTTAACAAAATGACATTAGTTTAAATAATCGAGAGAAAGAGACGTAATGACTCACTGTGGAATTGTTAGGACTGAAGCCATAGCAGATGAGTACGAGTTTCCAATTAGCAAACCTACAATTAGAACAGCTGCTATGAATATCATGACCGCAAACTGCTTGAATCTTAACAATATGAAGAGAAAATTGAGTTATGAGTTTTATGAGGTTTTCTGACATAAATATTGTGTTTAGATTTTACTTTAATGCTACTGAATGGAGCACAAATATCCCCAACATATCGAGAAATATTTTAGATAAACTTTCATCGCTTTGAATATTCAAGCTTTGGTCGTTGTCATTTCGAAAAAAGATTAATGTTTTGTACAACAAAGCACAGATAAAATATGAAACAATCACTGCAATCCATAATTCAGTTGAGAATGGCAAAATGTGGGTAGAAATTGGTGAAAGTAATCTGAAAAAAATTTAAAGAATTACACAAATTCTTGGCAATTTATTGTTATGATGAAATTCACCCAGGTTTTGGTGTTATGCAAGTTATTCCTGTTCGACTGATATATTTTGAAAGCGATAGATAAAGACTATAAATAATAATTAATGAAACTTCACATTAATATTTATTTTTTGTTTGGGAAATTTTTTCACCTTTCATGATACCAAGAATATAAAGCACCAACGCCAACCTAAGAGAAAATAATTTTTTTTACTTTAATAAATGCAAAATAAGGAAATTTAATAAATCATTAAAAATTCTCACTTCCGCACGTTTTTCTGCAACTGCTCCGAGAATTCCATTTCCAGTTTTATTTTCATAAATTACGCCCCACTCACCTTCTTCATCTGTTGAAAAATGAAACATCGATGAGTAAGGAGAAAAAATGTGCGGAGGATGAAAATAATTTAATATTCACCCAAGGATATCAACAAGTTGCAATTATGTTTCTTACAAAACTCTAAGAAAACCCAACTTTCAGTTCCATCGATGTACAAAGGCGTTCGAGAAAGTTTCTCACGTGAATTAAAGTTTGCATTCGTTTTATTCTGTAAGCACAAAACTACGTGACAAATGTTTTTATTTCTTACTTTTAATTCTCCACTTACCACTTCTTTCCATAAAACATAAGGCATGTAGTTGAAAATTGCTAAAACAATTTCTCTACCTTGTAAGTTAGAAGTTTTGTCTGGGAAAAGTTTAACACTTTGTAGTTTCATCCTGGGGTTGTCACTAATATAAATTTCCGACAACATTACGAGGTCAGTGCTGTCATTGTTGTTGCCCGCATATTTTGTTGTTAAGAACGAGAAAGTTTGCGTCAGCTCTTGGTATTCAACCAGCAAAATGTTCGGTAAATCTTAAGAAAAATTCAATTCTCAAACGATGAAAAAGCAAAGTTTGAAAATGTTACCTTCAATGGATGAAATTGTTTTCCAACTACTAATTAGATTTTGAGATTTTCCTTTAGCTTGAGTGGGATAGACAATAATATGCTTGTTTGGAAATCTTTGGATACAATCGTCATGGATATCACGAAAGTCCCACATAAAGCTAAGAATAGCGTCGTCTGAAATGACAAAACTTTGACATCCACTTTCAACAGCTTTACGAAAATTATCTCTTGATTCCTTGCTTGAGTTTTCATATTCGAATGAATAAAGATTGAAGCCACTAAGTCTTGGTTTAATATCTGAAGTTTTCGAAGTTATCACACAAACAAGGTAAAACAAACTGAAATACTGTGAAACTGAATAAAAGTAATTAAAACCTTAATTCATTTTAAACTGTAAAGATGAAGAATTTACCAACAAAGTTCAAAATATTCTGCACGGCGTCTTCAAATCTTAACACTTCCTCGACTGTGGAGTTCATTTTCAAGTTGAAGTCTGATGAAAAGTTCAAGTAAATATTTCTTTTTATCCATCTTTCAGGTTGTTGTAGAATGTAATTGCGGGTTTGTTGACTTGTTTAAAATCAAATATTTACTCACTGAATAATTAAAAATCATTTCAAATTGACTCAAATAAATTAAAATGAATCAAGAATTTTAAAAGCTGTAATTAGATATATTTGAACTGAAATGAGACCAAACATTGTAATTGATTTTCATTTCAAGTCCTTTTAGAAAAATCATTTGAAATTGATTAAACTTTTTTAGTATTTATTTTTGAAGAATTTTTATTGCTGCTTTCAATCAAATTTTTGTTTTCTCAATCTGGTGAAACTTTAACAGTTTTTCATTATTGTTGTGAATCTTGTATTTAAATCTATTTAGGTTTTGTTGTGATTTTAACACTCTTAGGAAGAATCAGGTGTAACAAACATAATTTGAACAATTTCTTCAATGGCTGACAAGAAATGTGCAGTTTCAATGGTTTAGGATTTCATTTTCATGAGGTTTAGACTATAAGAAAGAAATTCTTGGAAATGTTTTGGCATGAAGTTAATGTTCAATATTTCATTTAGGTAATTTCTCAAGCAAAATAAACACTTTTCATGATTTTTACATTAACAGTTTAAGGCAGACATTTCTTAAGTGTTCATACTTTCATAGATAAGAATTTCTTGGAATATCTAAAATTTTTCTTTTTTTACTTCAACTTAAAACTAATTTTTTTAAGGGAAGAAAAAGTTTCACACGGAAAAGAAATTAAATGGAAGTTATTAAGATGTGATATCAACTTCATTGAGTTATAAATTAACACAACACATTGTAAAAGCTGAAGATTATTGTGATACAAAAATATTTTCTTTTTACATTTCTATTCATAGCGACGCAATTGCAATCCTCAGACAATTCAATTCTGTTACATGTTTAAGGCTCACAATGTAGGAAATCTTTTTTTATCATTACAATTCCCAATCAAAAATAAGTTTTTTTGAGGATTTTTAGTTCTTGCGTTCAAGTGTAAATGTTAAAAGACCAAAGAAAACCAAATAGAAGTTTTGCTATTGCTCACTCTTGGATTAATAATTTAATTTTTAATTTTAACATTTGCACATATTTTTTCTAGGATTATCATGCAAAATAAGTGCTTGTTCACTGCTCGCACAATCAATTGATCGAAGTTTTTAATTTCTTATGCTTTACAACACAAACTTTTTAAATTTAGTTAAATAAATGTTTAGATTTCTCTTTTGCTAATAATTTTACCTAATTAATTAAATTAATGGAATTGTTTTTAGAACTTTTATAGGCTTTACTTCTTTAATTGAGGATTTTCTAATATTTTAAATAAGATGTTTCTCTCTTTGTTCGTAGATGCCAATAAAATTAATTGAAAAGTTTTTAACAAAAGATTCTTGAAAATTCTTTCACGATTAGATTAAGAAGTGGATTTAATGTTTATTAACTTTTTGGAATTAGATCAATTTAAAGATTTGGATTTAGCTTAAATCATAAGAGTTAGATTAAAAAGAATTTTCTGAGAAATACTTAATTAAGCTTAACTTTATAGTGAATAACAAAAGGAAGTCATTGATACAAAAATAAAATATGCTTTCTCTCTCATAATGATTAACGGTATAAATGTAAATAATGTACACAAGTGGATTTTTACATTATAATTAATTCTTAACTTTCTAATCTTTCGTAGTCCCCCCAACAAATTTTGATACCCAAAAATTGACACAAAAATAAAAACAAAGAAATTGAGAAAATTTTTCGTTTCCTCAGTCACATGTCAACAAAGAATTTTCAACAAAATCATAAGTTTATCTTTCCGCGATATGTCAACGACGATTAAGTTTAATAGTTTTTGAAACGCCATCCAATGCTATAATTTTGTTTCAGGATTGTCGGGCGGGAAAAGAATCCGATGTCCACTCATTGCATCATCGTCATCATCATCAATACATTTTAAATCTTTAATATCTTTCATTGAATTGATGTTCAATTTAATTTGATTTTCATCGACAGCCGATGAGTTTATTTCATCAATAACTTGAAAATCTCCACTGCTTGGTGTACTTCCATCAATCAACTCAGTTTGTGTTTCCGCTGTCTTCATTCCAACTTCAAATGCATCATGTGATGATGTCACAATTCGTTTATCACCTCGAATCTCATTCATTAAAAGCTCAACATTCCCGATCGCTGGCCACATGACGACCAGCGAAACGTTTTGTCATAAAACATGTCTTAAGTTCTTCAAGCTAATGTCCTTTTGTTGTTTACGTGATGGATCGGTTCGTGAAAGCATGAAAAATTTCTTAAAGCGTGATGAACTGGTGACAGACTTTTGACGTTCTAAAATAATCTTTTCATCAATTGGTGAGGTTGTGAGTTCCGTAAGTGGTGGTGATTGACTCTTCAACGTATAACTTCCACTTTTAATTAAACTCAATTGCTTAAAACGAAATGGTTGACGTGTCACTTTTTTTGTTTGATTTTTCATCATTTCAACATCATCATCGTCGTCAGGTGACTCAACATTGGATCCCAATGGTGGGATTTCTGTACTACATGATGGTTCAGTTGATGGATAAATCATATTAACATACGTTTCTTTATGTGCCATTGCTGACTTTGATGATGTCGCTGATGTTGTTGTGTTGAGATTCAAATTATCGGAAATTTGCAATTCGGTTGAAATAATTGAAGTTGGATCACTAGAACCATTCGCTCTCTTCTTCATAAACTTAAAGGACATTTGACGACATCTTGTGTCTGATTCGGGATGTTGTTGATTTTGATTTTGTCGTTGACTTTGGCGTTGGGTATCGTTGGGGGTGAATTGTTAATCGCCACGATGCGTGTTACGTGGTGCTGGATTTTTACGAAAGATGTAAACTTGAAAGAGAATTGCTAAATCTAATGAAACCTGAAAGAAAGTTCATTTAATGAATAAGTCAGTGAATAAATAAAATTCAAATTACTTGAAGCATGCCACAAATCCAGAATTGCATTGGAGCATGCCGAAGAATGAAATATGTTGTCTTATAGACGTCACCGATTGTCCACATGATGACCATGAGAAAGCTCATTCCATGTGTTGATTTATTTTTATAATTGCGAAGAAATTGTGGTGCACCTGAATGAATATCAATTCAATTAATTCATTTACGTGTTGTTTATGTTTGTCGATAACTCACCCAACATTGCTTCAGTGAACACGGCAAGAAATCCGATGGTTTCCATGAACCAATTGACTGGCAACATGATATAAGTAACAGCAGCTCCGATCGCCCAAACAACCAACATGAAACTATTTTTAACACAGTTATTTATCAAATAATTCAATTTAATGTGATTTAACTTACTCTAAATAAGACTGAAAGTCCGTCCAAGCCCAAAAGTAACGTGAGTCAAAATCTGTAATTGCATGAGTGTTGAACATTTAATAATTTTAATTGCTGAAATATTCTCTGTTAATTGAATATAATTTCCAAACCACCAAAGGAACAGGAAATAACTCATGATAATAATTACATAATGTCCCAGCTAGTTAGATGATCACTAGGATGAGCGTTACAACGCTCAACTATCTTTCCATTAAGCTAAATAGTAAAGTCAAGCCAACACCAAATAATGGAAAGGAAGATGTTGAGAATTTGTGTATGTAAAAGGGAAAAAGTAAATTTTAGACAGATGTCAGTGCCAAAAACAACGACAAAATTATGTTCCTTTATTCATGTACAAGATGTTTCAAGTATACAAGAGATTATTTTTTGAATATGATGTTGATAAGAAATGAGCTTTCATTTTAATTAAAGATGAACCATAATGAATCTTCAAAGGTTGAAATGAAGATGATCAAAGTTTATGAGTATTAATTTTATACTTAATTACTCAAGTGATGAAACTCATAACGTGGGAATAATTAAAATCTGTTTCAGGCTTTTAAATCTTAATGAATCTTTCAAAATCTTTTTCTCACTTGTACATAGATGATGATTTCGAAGCCCTTTTAAATCATGATTTATTTCCTTTACTAAAAAGATTTCCACCCACGTGCATTTTCTTTTATTTCTTTTTCGAAAAGCAAGTGAAGTTGTTACAATAAACGTTAAAAGTTTAATGGACGTAATTGCATTTCTATTGCAGCTCACGATATCGTTCAACCTTCAACAAATTAAGACCACGAGTTTGCGGATATATTTAATTATAAATAAATGAATGTGTAAGGTTGCCCATTTGGCTTCGTTTTTAAACACCAGGAAACTCAACATTCATGAATGATGTTAAATGATGACAATAAATTGCTTTTCATAAACTTTGCACATTCATCGTCACACTTTCTAGTCTTTAAATAGTCTTCAAGGATATATTTAGATATTTTCTATTCATTCTGTTATGTCGAAAATGTTTTAAAATTTCTGAACATCGCTGCTGTTTCGTGAGGTTCATTCAATCATAAAAACAATGGCGTATTTATATTTTAAATCAAGGATGTTTATAATCAATAAATAATACAATTCGAAAGACTTTTCTTTGCTAAACAATCACTTTCACTAGATCAATTTTTAAGGTCAAGTTCTGACATGGTTATTCATGTGTATCGTTCTAAAACCAACCATAAATAACAGCAATGAAAATCATGAAGCTTCAATATAATTTCCAGTTATCACGCAACTCTGTCCATTCCCTCAAACACAAAAGTTTCCAAGTTTTACAATGTGCATACAAAGCTTAATAGGATTTAAAATTTTATAAATGAAAACAACCCTTATTATGTATGAAATCCCAAACATGTCGATCCCTCCCAGAATCTATTTTTGAAGGATTTTCATCCTTTTACACATGAAGTTGTTCTTTATTAAAAATCGATTGAAATATATTTTGCGAATATTTTGATCGTCTGTTGTTGAAAAATTTACATGTTAACTTTGAATACAGTATAAACAGTATAAACATGCATAAATAAATAATTGAAAAAAGAAACAAATCTGTTATTTTCTGTTCATTTCTGTTCTTTCAAAACAAAATTAAAATTATTTATTTATAACTTTTGTAAACCACAACGTCCCCTAAAAAGTTTACCTTAACAGAATAATGAAATGAAATTTTCTTTGAGTCAATTTAACAATTCAGTTAGGAAATCACGTCCAGACAAGTGATGAAAATATCTTTCATTATCATGCAAGTGTTTATCAAAACTTCTTTTTGAAATGTTTGTCTTCCTACATTGTCGTACAGAGACAAGCCTTTTATTAGCTTAGATGAGATTCTTAGTTGATTTGTTTAACAAGAAACAACTGAAGTCTTTATTTAAGGAAAAAAGAAGAATTTATGAGCAACCAAATTAAACATTTAACGCGAGAATGTCGTGACATGTTAAAGAGAAGCTTTTAAAAATTCAAAAGGATTATTTATTAAACAGCAAGTATCACTTTTTATGAAAGTTTCTGAAGGGAACTTATTCACACGTTTATCCCTTTTTTTTAGTTTCAACTGTTTCACAAATTACGGTAAGACGCCTTGCTTCATTATTAATTCAGTTGACTTAACCACTCCATTAATTTGTTTGCAAACAACCAATTTATCAATTTCTAGCACCCTTTCATTGATTTTCTTCAATAAGACCACAAAATTAAATCTCATGTGAATAATTTTATGTCTGATTAGCATTCCATTTTGTTGTAACAGTTGGAACAAAACGTAACCCACGCAGACAAGAAATGAATTGTTTCGGCCATTTAGTATCATAAAAGTAAAGGTTTTTGGCATGAAATTGATGTTAATTTACACACGCAGATAGGATTTTCTTTCTTATACAAAGAAGTTGGGTTGCTTTGGGGGATGAGAGACACACAGCAATACAATGTAGCTAATTAGGGAACTCTATGGAAACAAAACCAAATTTTCATTGTATTTTTAATGTGTTATCATCAATAGATTTATTGTGAAGATATGAACGGAGACATGTTGGATCTTGTCACTTTGCTGATAATAAATTAATCGGTGTTTAAACATTACTCTAACAACTCTACGCGAATGAGATATGAAAATTCTTTTTATAAACTGTTGAGTCATGAGTCATAACATTTAATCTACGTTGGCAAAAATTGTGATGAATTTTTGTTATCGATATACTTATCTTATCAAAGTGATAGTTCAAATAAATAAACTAATTCGTGCTTGTTACAATTCAATATTTAATAAAGGGCCATGAAACGATTTTCAATCACTTGAAATTTTTATCAAATTTCATGATAAGATGTTTGAAAAGTAAGGTGAAGAAATTGATTTGTTACAGCAGGTGATTTCATTCATTTCTTTCATTTCTTTCATTTCTTTCGACCCTTGTTAAATGTCGCATAGAATATTTAACATAATCAACCACACGACGTTCTTGTAATTTTTCTCAAGTCAAGCCACAAATTTAATTAAGAATTCTGTCATAATAAAAAAGGACCCAAGGTGTGGCTTGTCCATCAGAAGGCAAGCAAACTTCCTTTCATGAGTTTTTCTCCTTGCAAAGCCTTGGAAGCTTGATCAGGAAGTAAGGTGTGGCATCGCTATCACTTTTCTTGACAACAATGACATAGCAAAAGATGAGAGAAGCACTGACAAAATCAGATTTGTTTTCAATGATACCAACACGAGTAAGCTCATAACGATTTCCTACCGATTAAAAACGCTTCGGTCATTTCACTAATGCGAATAGATATCTAGGAGCGTTCGAACGAAAACTAAAGCATTGCATGACTAAATCAGATAATATGCACACAACAAATTGTTTCCTTCTTTGTTGGAAGTAATCAAAGCTGATATTCGAATGTGTAGTTAAAAAAGTTTGTAATGGAATCGGAAACAAAATGCTGATTCAACTTACTGCTGCAATACCCACTTTGCCAACAAGGTTACATCGCTTATCTAATGCGTATATTCGTCAGATAAAACTTTTTTTTGACACTTTACGATCATAAAATTTTCTCTTTTCGTTGATAAAAATATTTGGCGACATTAAAAACAAATTTTCTTTACGACACGAATAAAATGATATGATGGAACTTTTTTAACATCACTTAACTCAATAAACTTTTCTTTGCGATCTTTAAAGGGTAAACGTTCATTTGACATTTGTTTATAGGATCACATTCACGGATGAAGTAAGTTGAAACCGTTTGAAAGTTTACAGTCTCAAAATGAGAAAAATAATTGAACTTTAATCTAAACTAGTTGATACAATTCCCAGCCTAGTTTCAAGCACTTTTCATATTTGGCAAATGTCCAAACTATTTTTTTATTTTGTTTTCATGATCATCGTCATCATCATGTTTTTATTTTGTATCATGGAAAGTGAAAACGATCGATTAATTTTTCATTTTTGCTTTCAAGTTTTTCCGAGACGTTGCCAGATTTTTCTCTTCAATTTCCATATCCATGAATAAGCTAATAAAAAAGTGAAATGATATCAAAATTTACCAGTAAATCAATCTCGCAGTATGTCTTATCGGCAAATTGAAATAAAAAATTCAGCAAACGACGCTGCCATAGGCAATGCCAGATGATACCATCGCTTCGTTTTACAGTCTAATGGAATGATGATGTAAATTGTAAACACACGCTGGTTACTGCAAGTGATTTCATTATGCAAAAGAAAACTTGAAGTGCGAGTTTGCATGTACATATGATGTTCAAGTGCAGATTAATTTTTCAATATTCATATTCTCAATGACGTCTAAATATTCGATAAAATTTACATTTGTGCAATGTAAATCGATAATTAAATTGAAGGCTTCATGTCAAAACAAGAAGCTAAGTAAAAATATCTTTAATGAGTAGAGAGAGTGACGTAATTTATATTATTTACACAACTACTCTTAAGATAGAAACATTATGACAACAATGAAATCACATAACATACATCTAATAAAAGTTGGTTAATATAGTTAGTAAAGTTAGTGCCCGTAAATGTAACATGAATGTGAGGTTTTATTAATTAGCCATTAAGTAAAATTAGTGAAACACAGTTAAAGGGAAGAGCTTGCTTTCTTCTTTTTTTTCCACCCAACTTAGGTCAAATATTTATAGTGTTGGTGGTTGTGAAAGTTTATTAAGCTCTGACAAAAGAAGTAGAAGTAGAAGAAGAAGAAGGAAGGAAGGAACATACCACTGATATAATGTTTCGACTGTTTTTTGACTAAATTGTCTGACGGCTGCGGTTGTGATTCACTGGTGCTTTTATTGACTGGCGAGAGTCCATCAACGGATGTAACAGCTTGATCTTTGAGTAAAGTTTTGTTTTGGGATTTGTTTTGTAAATTTAATTTCAAATAAAATTGTTTTTGTTTATTTCTTGTTGTCAAATGAGTTTCACGAAGGAAAATGTGTCAGTGAATTTATTTAAATATTTATTTTATTATCTTTACCCTCAAAGTAAAAACAAAATGTTGCATTAATCAAAATCTTAGACTGAACACTCTTTGCTTTTCGCCGATTAAATATAATTAAAAGGCACAAAGCGGCAAAACCAAAATCAAAATGTAAAAAAGAAAACTAAAACGTTTTGGATATCACTTTAAGAAAAATATTGGCTTACAAATTGTGAGATGTCTCGATAATATTCTTGAGGCATCTTCACAATGAATGCCATTAGTAACGAGCTTAAATGAATGAATTTTATTCTTACCAGAGAAGGCACGTTCCCTTGCCCGCATTATATTGTTGTTTCTTCTTACTTTCACGCATAAATGAATCATCAAGAACATTGTTATATTCATAACAACACTTTGGATGAGAAGCGGAAGTTCATATCGTTTAGAAAACCTGGAAGAGAAAATTTAATCGAATTAACAAAGAAAATCGTTTCATTTTTATCATGTTGAACTCGTTCAATTTAAAAGAAAATAACATGCACTCGGTTAACTCGAACAGTCATCGAATCAATATTTCATGGCACACATTTCAGTGTCAATAATTATTAAAGGCAGTTACAGTAATGGAGAAACTTCGTTGGAACGTTGTTGATTTTTATCAAATTGATTTTTATTCAAACATGGACTGTAAAGGGCGGTTTTTCAATCTGTCGTCCATTAATTACATAAGACAGTGTGACGTCGGTGTAGTCATCATCGATTGTCACTGACAAACATTCTCCAAAGCTATTTTCAAGAAATTCAAGTTTCCTTGTCTCATTCAACGTTCGAGTACATCATATGAACTCTTAAAATGAACATTTTTATAATCTGGAGCAAATTTTAAACTCGGATCAAATTTTAGTAATAAAAAAGAAAGAAATGCAAGTTGGCAACAGTGGACGAGCGTTTTTACAGCTCCATAGTTAATAATGCATGTCCGCATTTTAATATTGGAGAAAGTAATTATAAAATATACAAAAGTAAGCATGAAACTATGTCATTTGGAAGTAAAAATCATTTTCTGCTAATGATGTGTTCATTAAAAAAAACCTTTGAATCAAAAGGGTTCTTGAGTTTGTGCTTTATCTTACATCTGTTCTCATAAAATTGAATGAAAATGAATCTTGTATGATTTTACACACCATTTGTCTAACATTTATTATGTCACTTGCTGTTTCATAATTTAATTTAATTTAACTCAACAACATCATATAATTTTCCAATTTGCTGTTGCTGTTTTTTTAAAAATTTATCTAAATTTGTCAACAAGTACGTGTCACATATGTAACACAACACTTCACTTCGAAATTTCTGTGAATCAGCTGTTGGGAATTCCCTCAATATTTCAATGAAGAAAAATTCAAATTTTATTGAAAATAGTCATACGAAACAAATAAAAGTTTCATCTCACTTAGGTAACCCTTTAAGTTGGAATGAGATAATTTCATTGAGTGATATTTAAACATAACTTTATGAGGAATCAGCTGTAAATTCTTTAACTCACTTAACGTTTAAATGGACTCTCAAATTTTATTGAGTGCTATAATTGTCGTTTGATTTATGTACGTTGTTGGCATCTCTTTCGCAACGTCTACGAAATTGTAGTTATAAATAGTAACAAAAAATATTCGCGCCATATTTATTGCGTTCGTCGTAAGAAAGTTCAATGTTAACAGACTTTTCTTTGGTTTACATATTTATGGACATTCAAGAATAATGAAATGAGTTTATCAACTATAGTAGGAAACATATTTAAGATTAAGAAAGCTTTCAACATTTCTCTTTACAAATTTGTAATTCAATTCCTTAAATGATATTTAAATCCAATTGTCTACTCTCAAGACCTTCACGCTTTTTTCTCGTATTTCAGTCATCTTCTTAAACTTCTGTTTAAAAGAAGACGCAAATTTACATTCACAAAATTATATTCCGGATATATAATAAAAGCGAGAGCGAAGAAAAAACAGAGAAAAAGTTAAGAAATGAATTCCGGCGAGCTTGAATAATCACATCAAATTGTATCGAACTACCGTCACAATAAAACAGAAATTTTATTCTTGTTACAATTTTTTTTTACAAAAGCAAAGATAAAATTTACGTAACTGACAATCGATTCAAAAACATAAATGAGACGCGATAAATATTCATCACACCATAAGTCATCGTCATCATGGCGCTTTGTGATGGTCGTAAATCGTCAAATGATTCTATCAGAATAACGGAGCCAAGTTGAATTCTGTGTAATATTTTAGGATAACTATAAATATGTAAACGATTGGGTGATAAAATTTGATTACAGTCTTACTTCGATGTGTACATATTCAATAAGAGAATGTTAATGCATGCAAGTAACAGAATGATCGATATGACGTTATTACGATTCTATTACATGTTTCTAAAGCGTCGTCTGTTTGTGACAGCATTGCAGACAAGTGGGCGGAAAATATTAAAAAGAAATTTTTGAATAAACAGACACTGAAATTCTATTCATTTTTTCATATCTATGTACAATGAAGTTGTTTAAATGAACTTCACGATTAGATATTTTATGAATGTAGCAAATTCTAAGATTCTTAAAGCTTAACAAACTCATCAATCAATGTTCAAAATGAGTAAACCAAGATTAGCTAATTATCATTCTTATCTAATATTGCTTCGAAATATGATAATCAGCTATAACTTAATTGAGATAAATCCTTTTACTATTACTTTGAACATAATTAACCTGAGAATATTTTCTTGAAACAATCGATGCAAAATTTCAGTAATCTTGTTAGAAGCTAGGAAAGCAGTGCGTAACTTAATATTTGTAATTCGATTCCCAAGTTTGTGTTGATGTTTTCCTTAAACATATTTTTGTTTTTCTTCTTCTTTAATAACTTTCACTTGTTGTGTGAACATTTTATCGAAGGGAATGAAATGTCGACAGTAAGTCGGCAGTGATAATGAAAAGGGTCGTTAGAAGTCATCCCGATGAATAATCATTAATGGCCTTGATAAGATGATAATGTTTAAAATATTCCACTGTTCTACTGAATCAGTTGGTTTTCAAAGTCTGTTGCTTGTCATTATGTGAATGTGGAATTACGAAACAAAAATCAAACACGAGCAAAATTTACGTGTACATTCAAAAAACTGATTTTATAATAGACCGTAAATGATTGCTTTACAAAAAAGAAAGCTGTACACGATTGTATCAATTTATGTCGGTTTTTTTTGGCACTTACCAGAAAAAGATTCTCAAAGTGTTAGCAATGAGAAGAGCGAGGCAAACATGAAGTGAGAACCCGTCAGCATCCTGAGTCTTGACAATCTGTCGATATTGTGGAACGTAAGGCAGGATACCGCCACCAATCATTGCTGATGCGGCTAAATGTCCAAGGACATTACCCACAGTCAATTTGTATTCATCTGATATGATCCAATCCATCTTTGAATCTTTCTTAGGAGTCTTTGTTGAGTAATTTTATTTTTTATATTTTTCTTTATGTGATTACATTTGCAATTTCCAGTTTACATATTTGATATTCTTGTACGCGAAATTCTACAGCTTTAAAACAAACAATGAATAAATTTACACACACTCATTCTTCACAATTTTTTCATCGCGAAATCTTAAATTTGACAAAAAGAAAACCAATTGATTTTCAAACTTTTGAGCGAATTTTGTGCTTATTGAAGTACAACTGACTCACTTTCACTAGTGACGTAAACAAATGTGATTAAGACTAGTTAGAGACATTTTAAAGCCGATTTTTCTGTGTCCTTCCACATCGAAACATTTATTATAAGTGAGAATTTTTATTTACTCGCGAGATATTCTAAGTCTATTTTAACGAAATGATTTTTCACAAGGTATCGAAATGATTTTTCACAAGGATCGACTTGCGTGGATTGACCTTCCATACAAACAAAGAAACAACGGTGAGTATACTTTAATAATGGAGTATACTAAACTTTTGTTTACATATGAATTATATGAATAAGCTTTATATTTGACATAAAACAATTTCTATAAATGATTTTGAAACAAATTGAATCAAATTTTGTTAATCATTTTGGAAGTAACATTAAAAAACTGGGAAATTTAAAATGTAAACAAAGAAAATGAAATGATTTTGTTATAAGGCATCAGCCCAGCCATAATCGAAAAGTGCTTCGGACGAAAAGTTCTGTATCGCTTAGAAATTTAATTATTCTTAAAATTTAGTTCATATGCTTTGCTGTTATCGATGAGAAGACATTAATCAACAGTGCAATAGATATTTCATTGAGAAAGCCTAAAAATCCTTAAGAAAAGGAAACAAAATCAAAACGAATAAAAATGGAAGTGATAAAATTTTGTATAAATAATTCATAAGTGGAGTCAGAACCAGTTCAGTAATCAAAATTCAAAAAAGTTTTTATTTTAACTACATTTTTAAGTGAAAGTTTGTTTATAAATTTAAAAAATAATTTCCTATATCCTGAATGTTAAAAGAAATCTTCGTAAAGATCTATGTACTTGTGATCTTTGTGACGTTAAGCGATAAACAAATATTTAATATAAAAAAATATTTAAGGTAAGAAAATAAGAAGCTACCATTGATAATTATTTTCACAAGCCGTCAAGTGATGAGATTATCACAAAAGAAAAAAGTTTAAAACAGTGCTAAGACTTAATGAACAAATCTAAAAGATTGATTATTAAAATTTTATTTAAATTATTGATAAAGATTGGGAAGTTATACATTTTAATAAAATCTGAGAGATAAGTAACAAACTAATTCATTTTTAAATAAATAATCTGAGGAATTTGTTGACTTTGTTATCATTTTATGTTTAAATTCTTATATGCAAAGTTTGTTTTTGCCGCTCACCAAAACAAAAGCAGTCAGTAAAATTTTAGTGGGCAGATTTGTCTTATTTTGTAAACTTTGAGATATCAGAATTTTTTGAATAGAGAAAGGTTAATTCCATTCATTATTCAGTGATACTCGAGATCAACATATGAATTATTAAATGATTGTACAGTCAATAAGAAAATTTCCGGATGAATTATTAATGAGTAAAAACTTTAAAGTTTCAAATGAACAGAATTTAGTTTTTGAAGCGCTCTACTGGTTCTTAACAGAATGCTGATAATTAATTACAGCAAGAAAAACGCGATTTGTTTCTTACCATTTCTAACCCAATCATTCTTGATCTATCTCTAAGATTCTGTTCAGCACATTACACAACTTGTTTTGTTTTTATCTTCTGTTTATGTCGTCTCTTCGATTGTCATGTCTAAAGATGAAAAGTAGTTTGATGAAGTAAATAAACACATCGTCAAATATCTTCTCTAGTTCATTGAGTAAAAGATTTTAATTCTTTCATTTTATCTTTCATTACAGAACGTTACGTTCAGGTTCATCGACGACGACAAATTTCTTCTTTTTTCTAATAAAATCATAAAACAGAAACAAAAAACTTCTTTTGTTTAAAAAAAATTAATTGCGCAACGAATTTTAATTCGGTCAGCACATAGCAGCAGAAATAGATTCCTTCAACATTCTTCAAATTCAAATTTCATACAACATAAAGTTGACAATGTATGTACAAATGTAATTACATACATCGGACGTAAAACTTCAAATTTCAAATAAAGTCTACCTCAAAGTTGCTGATTAAGTGTTTAAAACGAACATGAAAAACTAAATTAATTGCGAATTCTTATGATAATAAAAAAGAAGAAAATTCTAGTGCGCGGTAATGTGAAGTTTTCTTACTTAACTGACAATTATCGTAAGACGAAACGAGACGACTTTGAAAACCTTAAAAATCTTTAAGTAACATACTTAAAAAAGAGAAAAGAGTGAAACAATGTGGAGTATGATATCAAATGAAATTAAAAGTCAAATCTTTTGCTATAAATCGGGAACATTTGAGGAAATTAATCACGACACTTCAGATACAGCTGAAGACATTTGCAAGGAACTTTGTATCCGATTGAAGCTTCCACCACTTGTTCAACTTTTATTTGGACTCAGAATAAGTGGAAAAGGTTTATGGCTTGCAGGATGTCGCACACTAAAAGAAGGTGAAAAGTATGAGTTTCGGATTCGATTCGAGGTAAGCAAAAAAAACGATGATGACAGTAATTCAATCTTCATTTCATATCAAATCCAAAACTAATTAACTTCTAGGTTCCTAAGCTCTCATTCCTACATCAGTTAGATAAGAACACCTTCGATTACTTCTACCACCAAGTTCGTCATGATGTGCTTCAAGATGTCATACCTGAAATTGCATATCCAAATTTCAAAAACGATATTCTCGGCTTATGTGTCAGCGATATGTACGTGGAAATGATTGAGAAGAATCGAACGATTGATTATTATGAAAAGAAATACAAGAATTACATCCCCAAAGAAATTCGTAAAAGGCATGTTGGTTTCATTCATAAACAAATCGTCAAATCACTAAAATGGATTAAAAACCAAGAGTGGAGTGCATTGTAAGCATCTTTTATATTGAAAACTTTAATTTTCGCATTTATAATCATTTTTTGTTCACTTAGTTATGTGAAAAGCATTTATCTACAAGAAATAAATAAGAAAGCGCCAAATTACCTGACTGAAAACTATTTCGGAACATCAGAATGTCCTATTGAGGATGACCTTAAACAAGGAATGTGTCGAGTTCATCTTCAAATCGCTCCTTATCATCCTGATGAGCCTGGTCTGAGAATTTATTATTCGTACAAAAATTCGGTAATTACATCATTCGTTTATTAATAATCTTTATTTATATTGTTCATTGCATTCGTTTGCTATAAAAATGATTTATTCGTGAGCTTTAATTAGCGGTCAAAAGTCATTGTAAAAATAAAAATCGATTTAATTTCTCTTTTAACATTTTATTCGCTTTTATTTTTATTTTTATTTTTCTTAGTGGAAGCACGTGTCAAAGTTTGTTGATTTTTACACGATACAAATCGATGAAACAAAGAATCGTGTAAGTTTAGAGATTCAAAATTCACCTTTAGGCTTTCCCATTACAATGGCATCATCGGAAGAAACGGAATCGTTTGTAAGCTGCATAAGTGGATATTATCGGTTAATGGGGAAATGGAATTTGGATTTATGTTCAACTCTTGCGTCACCGTCATTAAAATTTCTCACCGATCACAAGATTCATGGCCCAATTGGTGGTGCTTATTCGTATAGTAAGATTGAAGAGAAGAATTCATCGATAGGATCGTTCATCATTCGTCAATGTGAGAAAGTTTTTGACACATTCTACATTGACATTGTAACCAAAGAGAATCAGCCTGAAACGTTCAAAATTCATTACAAACAAACATCGAAAGGTGACAAATGGCTGTTTAACGTGGGCGACAGTGGCGAAACACTCGAATTTGATGATTTGATTAATCTCGCAAAAAGCATTCCAACAAATGGACAATATTTCCGTTTACCACCCACGCTTTATGATCGATCGCCGTTACTTCTCTTATGTCAAACGCCAGCACAACTTATGGCAAAAGAGACGACATTTTTAAGGAATACAAATCCACTTTTATTAAGAGCAGCTGATGATCTTCTGTTATACAAATGGAAGGAACACAATTATGGTGATGGAATCTTTACACGAATGAAAGCCGATTGGAAGCAACCAAATGGCAAGAAAATCGATGTAACACTTAAGATTTTAAAACAAAGTGAAGTGAAACTTCGCTTATCAGAATTTGTGAAGCTCGCTGATCTGTGGTCAAAGCTTGATGTGTCGGAGATTGTTAAAATGCATGGAATTACTCTTCATCAACCAATTTCACTTGTTCTTGAATCGATTGCTTACGGACCATTTGATGAATTATTAAGAAGTCAAAAATATGGAAAAGACATAAAACTTTTGGACTTGGTTGAAACTTCTTACTCATTAGCTAAAGCTCTTCACTTCTTGGTGAGTTTTTCCGCTTTTTTATTTCTTTTGAATTAGAAATTTTAATATAAATTCTTTCACAGCAAGAGCTTCAAATTGTTCATGGAAAAATTCGATGCTCGTCTCTTCAAGTCACAAAGTTCACGCCAAATGAACAGCTTGTTGTGAAGCTCGGAGATCCAGGATTGCCAACAGAATATACAATTAACGATGTGCCATGGATAGCCATAGAAGATTACGATAATTTTTCATTATCAAGAAAGAATCTGAAAGGTGATATTTGGGCTTATGCAACGACATTGTGGGAGATCTTTTCACGTGGAGCTCAACTTAATCTACCAAATCCCGTGCAATTCTTCTCAACTGGTAGCCGACCATCAAAGCCCGACGAATGTGCAATTATACCAAACATTTACTCATTAATGAAGCAAGGATGGGAATGTGATCCTGATAAACGTTTTTCACCGCAAAAGATTTTCTCTTGGTTATTAGACGCCAGTAAGTTTCGAATGAATTTCTTTTTACTCATATCATTGTTCATTTTTATTCCATTATATAGAAACGAAACTTTCTCGAGATTATTCCGAACCAACAGCAACAACAACATCAACAAATGTTCGTCAAAATGGTCGATTGCCAAATGGCAACAATGCACACAGTCCAAAATCGAGAACAACGACAATGTCGGATTATTATAGTGGCAGGATGATGTCTGGAGATACTGAGCACACTTACATTTTAACTCATGGCACAACACAAGCGTACATTGAAAATTGCGGTTCAAGCATCGCCAGCGCTCGGTCGAACGACGGTGGTTCAAGTCAAGTGTCGTTAATTAATGGAAATTTATCAGACGGTTCACAATCAACGATTCCATGCTTAGGGGCAGCTTATTCGGAAGAATATTACAGTGGAATTGACAGTGTACTCGAATTTGATGGAACAAGACTGATTTTTCAAGGAGAAATTGGAAGAGTAAGTTAATTAATTAATTCTGTTATCTAGACAAGCATTAATCTTACAAAATTTCTTAGAAATCATTAACAAGGAAATTAAATTTTAATTAAAATATTCTACGAAATTTTCTCGTGAGAATACTTTAACTTAAATTTTACGATTGTTTAAATTTAAATTCTTTAAAAGCAATTTTTATTTATGTTCTTAAATGTCTTTTCTTTAGGGCAATTACGGTTGCGTTTTTCGTGGATCTATGGAAACATTTGAGGATGAAAAACCTGTTGCTATAAAATGCTTCAAGCCAATTGAATCGAATGACCAATTCAAAGAATTTCAAAGAGAAGCGAGTATGATGAAAACATTGAGTCATGAAAATATTGTAAAGATTTACAATTATCGTGAGGATCCTTTGTTAATTATTATGGAATATATGAATTGTGGTTCATTACTTCAGTACCTGTCAATTAATCGGCCTGACTTAAAAGTCGAAAATCTTTTAAATTTCGCTGCAAATATCGCAAAGGTGAGTGAAAGAATTTTATTTGAATTGAATTTATAAATTTTATAATTTTACTATCATCAAAATAGGGAATGATTTATCTGGAACAGAAGGAAATTGTTCATCGTGATTTAGCAGCACGTAATGTGCTTGTGGCCAATGAGAATTGTGTTAAAATTGCTGACTTTGGTCTTGCACAATTCACTGATAGTAAAGGATATTACGTTTATTCAACTAATGCTCGCGCATTACCGCTTAAATGGTATGCACCGGAGACATTTGAACAAAAGTTCAGTCATAAAAGTGATGTTTGGTCATATGGTGTGACGCTTTTTGAGATGTTTACGTTTGGTGAGTCGCCAAATCTTGATGGAAATCCTGATTTGAATGCTGATCAAATCTTGGAACTTTTAAATCGTGGAGTTCGTTTGGAATGTCCACGATTCTGTCCATCAAATGTTTACAATGAAATGATGTACAAATGTTGGAATTTGAGTCCGAAACTAAGGCCGTCATTTACAGAGCTTTTAAAGAAAGCAAATGATCTTATGATCTCCAATGGTGAAGCTGTTTAAGAGTTAAGAAGTTTCATAAATATAAATATCGGTAATATGTTTATTTGTGCATCAAAATGCTTTAAAGAAGAAAAAAGAAACATAAAAGAAAAGATGTTTAGAATAAGTAAAGGAAAGTTTTGTTCAATGTGTCTTCATAAATTCATTAAAAATGGAGAAAAATTTGATAAGAATTTAAAATAAAACTGAGCTTTGTTAATGTGAGTGTTAAACAATAAAAAGTAAATGAAACATTTTGTTATCTGTTCTCTTAATCAATGTTAAGTTAGATAATAATCTAATCTCTTGTATTGTAATTTACAATAAGAAAACCCCTGAGAAAATTTATTTACTTTTATTGCTTCTTTGGAATTATTCAACAAAGAACGTAAAGTTATCAAGAAAAAAAATTGAAATATTCGAGAAAGCTAAAAAGAAAAATTGAGAAATGTTGTCGTATATTTTAACTTTATAATCGAAGTATGTAAATGTTGAAATAAATAAATAGAAAAACGAAAAAATAACATGAATAGAATGTTTTTATTAATCCTACTTTTGAGTATGTATAGCGTAACAACGATATTGTTTTCATTTAGAATCAAAGAAATCTTATTTTTCAGTGAATTTTTTCAAGTTATAAGCAGAAGATCAGAAAACAACACTTCGAAGAAAATATTATTGAAAAAGAAAAAAAAGCTTTTGATTCTTAAGATAAAAATCGAAACTAAAAATAAATTTCTTCGGACATAAAGTAAGAAATATTTTTCATCATATTTTATTTAAATATCATGGAAACAGCAAAACAATGCGACATTTATCAAACACGCGCTAATTTTAAAAGTTCCAACGTATACACGTAGTGATGAAAGTTATTCGAGAGCATACGTTACGTTAATTTACGTAACATTATATATATGCAACGTAAAAATTATCAAAAGTCCCAAATGCTTAAAAACCACCGCAAATTGAAAACACGTGATTTAAAAAAATTTGAATTCTTTAAAATAAACTTATGAAATGGCTTAATTCAAGCCTTTTGCGAATTTAGAACTTCCGATGTCAAACTGAATCAGCATCACCAGATACTCAGCACCAGTCGCAATTACCTATTACGAAATCATCAATAAAATGGACGCAGATTAAATATTTAAATATCTACAAACCGCATAAAGAATGAAGTAATTTAAAGTAAACATGCCACAAAGTTCTATCGCTATTGGATTGAGGACCATATGTAGTTTCATCTCTTCAACACTCTTTTCGATAGCAACGGGTAAATTTTGTGGCAAAAAGTTGAAGCGATACCACAAATGTTTGGTTCTGTTACCTTCGTGTTGTAAATATTTTGCAGCTTTTGCTATCTAAAGATATCAACAAGTTAATCAAAACTTTCTATAAAAATTATTTTACCAATAAAAGTTGTAAAGAATGGAGCATTGCGAAGACAATCAACATCAACTTGAAAAGAATCGAACCATTTTTAAAAGATAATCCAAATCCGTAAAGATAGAAGAGCTGAAATAAAGTTTTAATACTTATTATTGAAGGATTTTAATTATTCATTTAAAAATCACCTGGTTTATGGTAACAAACATGCAATAACATTGCAAGATTAAAATCAACGGACCATAGTTTTGCTGGAAAAGTCGAATGACATCGGTAATATCTTCGTATATTTGAATGACCATATCAATTTCAGAGCGTAACTTATCGTTGTTGTTGTTAGCAATTTTGAGAGTTTTCTCAATATTTGAATTCATTATTTGAACAAATCTTCTAATAATGTCAATACAAGAGACAACCATTGTTGATAATCGAATTGTGAATATTGTTGGCATAGACATAAAATAATTATTCAACCAAGAGTTGTTCAAAGGATTCAATGTGAAAATTTCTCCCATTTGATTTGGATGAAACCATCCGCTGATATTGTATAGGTAGGCAAAAATGTGATTTGCTTCGGAAAAAATAAATGCAAACAAAATTTGACGTCCAAAACTATCAGCAAGAAAATCGTAATTAACTTCACTGGCTTTGATCAAGCGCAGAAGTTTCGTCAAGAAAATCTTTGAAGAATTAAATGTAAGTAACTGAAAAACTATGATTGCCGTAACCATTATAAAAAAGGCAATAATTTCAGCCGTGATTGTATTTTCAAGCGTATTGTCAAGATTATGAAGCCATCCAGCAAGATGACAAACTCGAAAATAATTCGTCAAGAAAAGTAAATTCCACACAACACTTAAAGCCGTTCCAGAATAACTTCTTTCGACACAACACTTGCTAAAGTTAAATCTGACCAAAACTAATCCAGACATGAAACTTGATATGTAGAAATATTTAAGAAGAAATCTTGTAAATCTTGATGTCATTCTGAAGAAGTTTTTTCAATACTGAAATGATGATTACAAAAAAAAAATTAAACACTTGGATTAATTATGCTTTTCGATTAATATGTTGTGTTTGGATAATGAATTTCATGGATATAGATAGAAATCAATCAAGTGTCACAATAATGTTTATTTTTAATCATTTTAAGAATTTATCGAACTTTTCCCCCGACCAAGCTAGTCAAAATAAAAATAAGTTTTCAATTACCGAAAATACTTGGCATTATATCATTTCCAAAGACTTGTGACAACATGATGAGATTTTCGAGAAAGGTCAGCGATCTATTTCTGAAATAAATTGTAGGTTGACTTCTTTTCAAACCTATTTCAGGATAATTTCTAAAGTTTTATTAAACATAATAAAGTCTTCCAATTTTTAACATTCTAATAAATAATAAATAATCAAATCGAGTTTGAAATAAGTAATTTCGACGTTTTCTTTTTTGGTTTAACTTCAGTGGCATCAAGAAATTTTATTTTATTGTTTTAATGTTCTTGTCTTTTCATAAAGTGATCTGCAAATAAAAGATTAACGAGAAGGAACGAAAAAAAAGGAGATTTCATTAAAATAATCGAATATGTGGCATTTTTTAATGTTTGTTGCACAGTTCTTCGATTGAAGTTTTAATTTAAACTTGAACTGATGCAATACAAACAGTAAAGAAACAACAAAAATGTAAAACTAATTGAAAAGTAGCTTCGAGACAAGATATTGGAATGTGATAAAGCCAATAAATTGTTACAATTTAATTCATTAATTTTGTTTTTTAACATTCTTTGGCATAATAATATTTAAAATCATTCAACTTTTCAATTTATTTGAAACGATTACGAAAGAAAATTAAATAATTTAAAAATTATTAAATTAGGTAATTGCGATGGTTTAATGTTTGTTAAATATCTTTACCTTAGATTTGTGACATGAATATTATCACATGTTAACACTTTTAACTAACAGTCAACATAATCACAATGGAATTTGTTAATTAATTATTGGTGGTAACAAAGAAAACTAAATCTTGATTAATTTCATTATTATTATCATTTCTCAATAAGTTATTCCTTGCCTGCATTAAAAGGAAAGAAAGGAAGGAAAGTTAATTTAAATTATTAGGTTTAATACATTAGGAAACTATCTTAGTTCACTTCCATGTTAGCGTGTGAGAAAATTTTCCAGAATTTCCATGGAAAAAAACTCACAACAGAAAACAGAAAAAGAATTCTCTTCATCTTTCAACATCACTCCAAGCACCGAAGAGAATTGAAGAAGCTTCTCCAATTCACTTACCACGAGATATTTTTGCCATCTAAGTGCTTCAAAATATTCTGAATGCAATCAGTCGACGATGCTGTGCCACCCAAATCTTTGAAATAATTTCAAAAGTTCATTAAAATGAAACAAATTTTATGTAACTTTAATGATCTTACCAGCTGTGTGAATTTTGTCAGTAACAATCGTCTCGTACATAGCATCAGCTATCGCATTTGCATGTTGTGTATGACCCAAATGGTTAAGCATATCAACAGCTGCATTCAACATTGCAAAGGGATTCGCGATATTCTTTCCAGCAATTGTACTGCCAGTGTTGCGAGTGCCAGGTTCAAATACTGCATAGTGATCACCATAATTTCGTCCCGACAACAAACCAGCACCGCCAATTAATCCACAAATGACATTGGAAGTGATCGATCCATACAAGTTTGTCGTCAATAAAACATCAAATTGTTGGGGATTTGAAACAAGCTGCATGCAAGTGTTATCGATAATCATATCATTGTGCTTGATGTCTGGATAATCTTTAGCGACTTTTCTTGAAGTTTCCAAGAAGCATCCGTCAGATAACTTCATGATGTTAGCTTTATGAATTGTTGTCACCTTCTTTCGTCCGTTACGGCGAGCAAATTCGAAAGCATATCGACTCAAACGTTCACTCGCTTCTTCAGTAATGATTTTCATTGATTCAACGACACCTTTCACACTCTCATGCTCCAACATCGCGTATTCACCTTCAGTATTCTGACGGATGACAACCAAATCGACATTCTGATGATGTGAACGAACTCCTGGATATGACTTGCAATTAACAACGCTTACAAACAAGTCAAGTTCATTTCTAATAGCAACATTTCTCGAGATAATTCCGGTTTGTTCCGATTTTGTCTCAATATTTCCTTTAATTCCTACGCCATTTCTCTTAATTGAAGTGATGGCGTATTCTAAGTCGTCGTTTGTTTCACTGTTGGGATCGATATCGATGATTTCAAAGTCAACTGGTACTCCACAATATCTGAAGATTTCTCGAACATAATTCATGAGCTCTGATCCGATACCCCCACCTTAAAAAATTGTTTAGTTAGCAAAAATCAGAAAATCGATAATTGAGCTTACCTGGCAGCATAGTGACGGTGTGACGTCCACCATACTGAGCCTTAGGAACGTACACTATTTTTCTTTGAATCGGGTTCTTATGCTGTAACTCATAAGCTGAACAGAAGTTCTGAAATAAAATGTAAACATTTTGATGGAATTGTTTCGTAATATGGAAATGATCCTAATTAGGTAACATTGAAAATTAAATGAATTTTAATCAATATTTACTCGTTTCAAAGCTGGTGCCACGATTTCACTCGAGTGTTTTAGGAATCTCAAAGCCATCCTCCCGAATTTTATGTTGACAGTTTATTAATTTCAGCTGCTAGAACCCGAAATAACAATATTGTTATGAACCAAGATAATTTCTATCGTGATAGGATCTGAGAGACTATTTGAGATCGTTCATCAGTTTTGAATTTTTTACCGTTACAAAAGTTTTTGTTGAAATTTAGAAAAAAATTAATTTAAAATGATTTTATAACTACGAAATGGATCTAGTAAATAATAATTTAAAATTGCAACTTAAATAATAATATCTGATGGTGAGAAATTGTAGGCTAACTACAACAGAGGAGAGAGAATTAAGTTATTTCTAAAACACCTCAAAAACCTTCTACTTTGTAAAGAATTTCTTTGTGTTAGAAAGGGATCGGATGGAACTTTTGTAATCAGACTCTGGTAAAGATTACATCATTTGTTCACATTCAGATACAAAACCGCGTTTTTAAACATTCGAAAAAGAACTAAAAAATATGGATTTTCCATATGAAAAGTTAGAAAATTTCTTGAACCGAATTCATAAAGCAGTAAATAATGCAAGACGAAATGGATTTCGTTACAAGAAGCAATCTCGCTATGAAGATATTCGAGAAATATTCGAATATTATGATTTGAAGCCGTATTTCTATGGCTCGAGAGTTATGGGTAAGTTTGGTTAATTGACACATTCTTTTGTTTAATTATTTTTCTCATAATTCGTCAGGAATCGCAAAACATGACAGCGATTTGGATATTTACATGAATGCCGGTAATGTCGAATTAAATCAAACGGAAGCCTTCAAAAAGGTTAAAAAACTGGCAGCACTTCTAGCGAAGCAAGATGATTGGCAAGTTGTCATTCCATTATATGCAAGAGTCCCGGTATTGCGATGCATTTATCTTCCGAAACACTTGAAATGTAAACAAATTCATTTATTCTTGATAAAATCTGAATTTTTACTTTCGTAGGCGACATAACATTCTCTGATCTTATCGGTGTTGCACATTCCAACCTCGTGTTTCATCTTTTAAATTTGAATATTGAGGCATTCAAATTCTTTCAAGCCATTCGTATTATTTTAAATATTTCGGGATTGAAATTCAGACACTTTCAAATACTTATGCTTGTTATATTCTTCCTGCAGCAGAAGAACTTTCTGCCATCAATCGAAAAAGTACAAACAAATGTTGAAAAGCGGATTATCAATGGAAAGTTAAAAGTTTTTTCTGAAATTAAATATTTTAATTAATTATATTTTCAGGATGGAACGCAGCTTTCAATGGGAATCGTACATTGGAAAATTATCGTTGCGCTCGAATGGGATATTTCAAAAGATATCTTCAAAGCTTCTTTTCTTATTATCATCAGTTTGACTACGATAATTTTGTTATTTTTCCATATTATGGCAAACCAATTCCGAGAAAGCTTTACACTAATTGCCAAGCTATGAAAAGGTAAGAAATGTTTTCTTTTTGAAGTAAAGTAATTAACTATTAAACTGTTTAAGATTTTCCCACAAGGACCTTCATCTGTTCAATTTAAACAAGCCAATGGCATCTGCTGCTCTCTTCTCATGTGACTCGAATATCTTTTGGAATGTTGGAAAACAACGTGCAAGTGATTTTGTCGACTTTTGTTACAACACACGCGTTTTCTTAAACAACAATTCCTTTTAAATATTTCTTATTAACATTTTCTGCGACATTTATTAACATTTGAATTTCTGAAAACACTTCGCGATGCGAACCTTAAAGAATTTTTCATTTGACTATCCTTTGAACAGAATAATTTTAATGTCATGAAAGATTTGAAATGTAAAACTAAAATGTCGCGTAATAATGAATCAGCAATTCTCAAACTCAAACAATGTTGCCTGCTAAATAAACATGCTAAAGATGCGTTATAAAAGTTAAAATATTGTTGCTGACATTTATTATTTATTTGGAATATTAAGTTGAATATTTTACAAGATGTTTAAAGATTTAATTCTCTCTTTAAATTATGTTAATTTTATCATAACTTGGAGGTGGCGATTCTTCGCATTTAAAAGATGAATTTTTATCGGGTAAGGTGAGTGCTACATGATAAGGTGGTGGAAGTTCTATCGTATCACAATTATTTGATTGCGTAGTAATTTGATTCGATGCCATTGTTGATGGTTCAATGATCTGTTCATGAAAATTTTCACTTCTTGTTAGACGATTTCTCCCAATACGTAGAAGTGAAATTATCGTTGTGAATACCATGAAAAGAATTGACATTGAACAAAATGTCACAAGCTGAAGGGTTGTCAATTCATTATCATAATATAATTTTAAAGCCAATAGAATGATTGCAGTTGTTATGCAAATCACGCCTTTCAAATAAATTGGTAACCAATTGTTGATTACACTATTTCTTCTCGTGTTATGTATTAAATCATCAACATGATTAATAGTCGATTCATCACGAGGATGAACTGAATGAATGACTGGAGTTGGGTAATTGTTTGCTTGGAAAGAAGACGCATTTGATCTATTTTCATTTGACGAGTGTTGCGCTCTTAACGGCGGCGGAAGTCTATGCTGTTCAAAATCTCCAAGACGATGGCGATGGTGGTAGTGAAGATGATGTGATTTCAAATGATGTTGAGATGTTGAAGGAGGTGATGACGTATATTGCCTCATTGGCGTCACCAACGATTTTGATCTTAATCTCCGATGTTGATATGACAACCCAGCCATAGAACGATTGTATCCGATTCCATAATTTGATCTTTTATCAATCCAAAAATGCATTTTTTCTCAAACTTCAGTGAAAATCAATTACGAAGTAATGCCGAACAATATTGCACCACTGATTAATTTATTAAATAACATAGAAAAAGAAGAATTGACAATGGAATGCTGCCAGAATATAATTAAACTAATTTTATTTAAATTTGTATATCTATAGGTGTTAATGTTCTTAATCAAATAAAACTTTTTCTTTTATCACGAAATATTATTCTAAAATATTTTTATCATTCACACTTTGGAACACAACTAAATCTGTCATCGAATAACTTCACCATAGAAATATTTATACAGTACTGATTTACTACTTTCAATATTTTTTTCTCCAAATTATTCTTTTTTTGAAAATTTATCTCACATATTTTCTTTGTAATGTTTTGTTGACGAATGAAAAATCTGTGAAATATTTGGAAAATATATGGTGTTTTTCCTCCCCTTGGTATCCCCCAAATGGTATTTTTCAAATTTTCCCCTTGTATCCCCCAAGTTGCTGAAATATTTGTTACTCTGATGTTTCAATGTTTTTATTGTGCAGCGTAATCCAGGAAAACATCAGAAGAATCAGCGGAATCCCTGATATAATGTAACGAACTTTTCTTAAAGGGTTTTTAATTTGAAAATTGTACTAGATTTTTCAAAAATAAATTTTTATGAACCTTCCAAACATTTCATAAAATAAGTAAATTGTAAGTGCCGGATATAATGAGTGTTAGTCCTAGTACAGTGAATCTTCCTGGAACGAACAGTACCACCATAACCCAAACAGTGGAAGACAATGGACAATCAAGAGTAAGTAATTTTAAAAATTATTTTACTTTTCCACAGAGATTGTTGCGATTGTTTACATTCCATTAAAAAAAATTATTGCAAGTTCATTATGCGTTTTAAAGAAATATTTTCAAAGTTCCTTCATCATAAACAATTCTCAACCTACACTGAATCATCGCCATTGTCAAATATTCGAGTTTTAGATTTGACAAGAATTATTGCTGGACCTTATTGTACACAAATTCTATCAGATCTCGGTGCTGATGTTATCAAAGTCGAAAAACCTGTAACTGGTGATGAGTCAAGACGATGGGGTCCACCATTCCTACAGAATTCAACTGATTCAGTTTATTTTCTTGCTTGTAATCGTAATAAACGTTCAGTTTGCATTGATCTTAAAAGTGGCCTTGATGTCGTTTATGACCTTGCAAAGACGTGCGATGTTCTTATCGAAAACTACGTTCCAGGGAAATTAGATAAGCTTGGATTGGGTTATAATGATTTAAAAAAGATTGCACCATCGCTCATCTATTGCTCAATTACTGGATTTGGTTCTCAAGGGCCATATAAGAATCGAGCTGGTTACGATGTCATTGCAGCATCAATGGGTGGACTTTTACATATCACTGGCGAGAAAAAAGCACCGTCAAAAGTCGGTGTAGCTATGACTGACATTGCAACAGGTTTATACGCACATGGAGCAATTCTAGCAGCTTTACTACAACGACAAAAATCAGGTCAAGGACAAAAAATTGACGTAGATTTACTTTCAACACAAATCTCGTGTTTAATCAATGTCGGCGTCAACTATTTGAATGCTAATGAAGAAGCGTCACGCTGGGGTACTGAACATGTATCAATTGTTCCTTATGCCGCATTCAAAACAAAAGACGGTTTCTTTACAATTGGTGCTGGTTCTGATGATCAATTTAAGGAACTTTGTAGAATACTTGATGTCTCAAAACTTTCTGAAAATCCAAAATTCGTTAACAACCAACAACGGGTGAAGCATCGCGAAGAGCTTAAAACCATTCTCAGTGAAATATTTGAACGAGAAACTAACGAATATTGGAATTCAAAGTTTGAGAAAGTCGCATTTCCTTATGGGCCAATCAACAACATGCAGCAAGTGTTTAACGACCGTCATGTTAAAGAAATTGGATTAGTTAAGACTTTGAAGCATTCCATTGCTGGTGATGTGAAAGTTGTAGGCTCGCCTGTTGTTTACAGTGACATCTCAACTGAACCTCGTTCAGCTCCACCTTCATTAGGTCAACACACTGATGAAGTTCTTAAAAATGTTTTAAATTATGACGATAAAAAGATTCAAGAATTAAGAATGAAAAAAATCATTCAATGAACAAATAAAGAATTTATTTCGATAATTATTCTGATCTTTAAACTTCTTCTCGATTTCTTTTATTTACAGTCACCACCAACGCTCAGATTACGTCTTCACAAACCCAAAGCTGAGAAGAAAGTCCAATGGACAGAAACAACAGTAGATAATGAAGGACTTAATAAGAAGAAATCGAAATGTTGTTGCATTTATGTAAAGCCAAAAGAATTCGGTGAGAGCTCGTCAGAGTCAGAAGATGATTGTGAAAATTGTTATGGACATGTGGAGATGAAGAAACACTCACATGAGCCAACTGACCCGCCAACAAACGATCCAAATGATTCTGAAAAGGCTGAAAGTCCAACATAAGTTTAAGTTAATTATTTCTTCTCGATTAAATATCATAAATAAATAAATTATTATGTAATTTTAAGAATGTATGTGCAACAATATTTTGACAGCTTTGAAGTGCAAAAATAATATAAATTTGTATAATTAGAATAAGAGAAGTTCATAAAAAAGATTGATGATTCTCTACTCTACCATTACACCCACGCACTTAAACATTTACTGCTTTCAATGTAGATAAAAAATTATATCATCATTACAAGTTATTTTAATAAACTCAGAAATCATTTAAAAATTGAAACATTTATTTGTCTACTTTCATTACTTCACAGTTTTCACTGTACAATTTTATTAAAAATATTCAGACGAATGTGAAAGAAGAAATTAAGTTCAAAAGAAAAACTTTTCATAGTACAAGAAATGAATGAAATGAAAAAAAGGGAAAAATTAAAAAAAATTGAAAATGAAACTCCACAAATGAAAGAAAACTCGACGAAGGAAGCTTAAGATTAAGTATGTTGAGTTGGTCTGATGGCAATCATTCAATGAACTTTCTCTCGAAATTTGTTACATTTTCGAATGAAATTCAATTCTTTCTACTTGCATGCAAGTAATTAATTACTTGACAATTCTTCATCATCCTCTTGTCGTTTACTTGACATGAAGCGAAGAAAAACAAAATAAAAAATGATTAGGAAGGTGAAGAAAAATTGAAATGAAATCATCGATGGACACCATCAATCAGACAAAAGAAATTGTTTTAAGAAAACTATTTGACTTTAGCGTAAAAGTCAACTTTTTCATGGAACCAGCTGTAGTACGTGAGTGCCCGTTGTGTAGTTGAATTAAATGCTTTTCCAATATTTTCCGGTGACAATTGACCGCTGAAAAGAATAAAATTTTAATAAAAATAAATGAAAACATTTAACATCGGACTTACATAAAAACTTTTGTCTTAAAGAACTCTACGGAATGTCGCCAACCATTGCATGTTAAGCTGCAAAAACCTTTGGCAGCATTAGCAGTAAAATCTTGAATCTTTTGACCTAAACCGGGTACATATTTATCAATGAATGAAATCACCACAGGCGTCTTTTCAGCGAAGAATATTTTCGTTGATTCCCATCCATTTTTCGCTACGTTGAGAGCTGTCAAAGCAAGATCCTTTGTGAAATCGCAGTAAGGCTCCATAAAGGTTCGTGTTTTACTGTAAGCAACTGGTGCTTGCTCTTCAATCCACTTGTAACCTCTTGCGCTATACTTGAGTGACACAAACCAAGCATTCTCGACATGTGGAAGAGCTCCAGTTTGCTTTAAAACTCTTCCTACTGATGACTCTTCGAATTTTCCATCATGGAGAACATTTGTATCGTAAGCTATAAGTCCGGCTATAGCACTGAACAAAAAGATTGATCCAAAGAACCATTTACAGCATGATGACCTCGATGATTCACCAGAGCCTTTCTTTTGTTTCTTTTGCTTTTTGTTGTCACTCATTTTTGCAGGAATGTCCTAGAAAAATTAATGAAATGCAAGTAAGAAAAAAATAAAATTCAATTTTGAATCACAAACAAAATCACAAAAATGCCAACACAGAAAAAAAGTTAAATAAACTTATGCTGTTAGTTTCATGCGCAAATCAACTGCTTTTGCTTACCTTTTTGCCTGCTTGTGGCTTTTGCTTATTTTTATTTTGCTTGTTTGCTGATGCCATTATTTATTTTGGTACTTTATTTTAAATTATTTAATGAAAAATATAAATTAACAACAAATCACCGAAACTTTGACTTTGTGTGTAACTACGAGTTAAAAAAAAGAGAAAATTGAATTTATTTTAAAGAAAATTAATTTATGAATGGAGAAACTTGTAAACTGTGTGAAAAAGAGATTTGATTTAGGAAATATTTTTTAATCAGTGCGAATGTCAGAGATTTATTTTAGATTGTAACAAATTGCAATTGAACACGTTGGAATTTCCAGAAATATCCAAAGAACAACAATACATGAACGTTGACTCTTTTTTATCTTATCACTGATAATATAAATAACAAAATTAAACAAAAGAAAAACTTATAAGACGCTTTCTATTCCAAGAGCTTATTTGATAAAATTTGATAATGATTAGTCGAAGAAAGCCGACTCAATTGAACATTCAAATATTCGAAAGCAATGTTCAGACATGGAGAAGCATGAAATGATGAAATTTGATAATTCACCGACCTCTAATTAGTAATATTGTTAAACACCAACTGACGTCATGAGTTTTTTAAAATTATTGCGCAATATATAAAGTAAAAGATTATCTAACATTCATTTTAACATTCAATTGCTGATTAAACATTTTTAACACCATACAACTGCTATTACGAAAGAGTGAAATATGTTATTAAAAGTTTGTTGTCTTCGCAATCAAAAGTCAATCTCATTTCAAATATTCCACATTTCTGTTGTTATTTTTAGCACATCGATAAGAGAAATTGTCAATTTTCAATTGCTGGTGATGTGTCTAGTTTCTTTTTACTTGTCTTTTTAATGAAATTTTCATGTCTATATGCATTTGAAATTGATTAGTAAATTAAATAAATTCGATTTCTTTAATTAAATAATAGTTCAATTTAAAATACTCCGAATCTCCTATAATTAACATTAAATAAATTTTCATGCACAAAAGTCAAACTAGGAAAAAGAAAAAAAATTGTGGAATTGTCTGAACTATCATCATTTTAGGTAAATGAATGAGGTTGTTGTTGGAAGGCGTTACAAGTCTGCTATTAGTAAGGATTATAATTTATCAAAAAGTGGCTCATGTTTTGTCGCTTGTTACTTTCAAACGTTAATTTTTAGAGTATTTGATAATAAGAAGACACACCGAGAAAGGAGGAAAAATATATTACACGTTGCATGACGTTGGAATCTCCCAAATAAGAGAACTACACTACCAAACCCGTTTTGCTTATATTAATCAAACAATTTTCTCGTTGCGTTTCTTCATGTTTTCAACAAATTTTCACACAATTACAACTCTCCTGCTACAAATTTCAATAGTTCTTACAATAACTTACAGTATTTATAATTTGGAATTACTTTTTGTTCGAAAACTTTGCTTTTTTAATCGATATTCTTCAATTGAAGTTCGTTGAAGAAAACTTTACTGATTACTTTTCAATGAAGTACTAGATTTTAAGTTTCTATTAATAGGATCAATGATACTATACACGAAAATTTACTTTTTCAAATTTAATTTTTCCGTTAGCATTTTTTACATAAATTTCTAATAATTTTCTTAAAAAGTCAAAAGAAACTTACCTTGAAAAACAATAAATGTGGATACTTCGAATAGTCAATTGATTTCACAAATGATAGGAACGTTTTATTGTCCAATAAGGCAGATGTTTTATCTAAGTTATTCTCTGGAAAAATAAATATTCAATTATACTAAGTTAAACAAATTGAACAAAAGTATCTTTTCTAATTACCTATATAGCAAAAGATCAATGCATGCTGTTTTTTGTAGTCATCAAAAACATTTTCCCAGACTTCTATAGTTTCTTCAGGATATTCAAGAAGTTCCTCAACAATGGCATGAACAAACAGCTCAGGATTTCTTTTAGAATATTTCAGCATTATAAGAAAATATTCTCCAGGATTGTCTCCAACGCTTGAAATAAATTTCGTCGACAAAAGATCAATAATATTTCCTTTAATGTTTTGTCCATCTTTCATTTTTGCTTTCAAATCACTATCAAGAATTAAATTCACAATCATCTTATAATCATTTAAAGACAAATTCAGTGCTGGTGTCTCCGTGCTTGCGAGAAGAATTTTTTCCAGTAAATTAAATGCAAATTTTGTGTAGGTTTTAACATTGATCACTGAACTTATTATCTCCATCCACACTCTCAAAGCGACAGAAGTGCTGACAAAACCAGAAGTGCACAAAGTCCAGAAAAGCGAAAGACAAATCGGAGACTGATTTTGATATGAATTTCTGAGAATAACTGTGCTGGCTAAATTAGCAAGACAAACTTCAGGATAGAAATGAGCGATTTGTTGCAACATGATTAGATGTCCGATGAAATTTCTATTCTTATTTAATTCATCACACAATGAATGCAATAAGCTGTTGAAGAAATATTGAAGATTCTCGCCATTACATTGTTCAATTACTTGTGACAGTAAAGCTTTGAGCTTTAAAGGAAGAATATTATTTGGATAGTCGAGAGGCCTATCAAATAACAGAGAGTCTTCAGTCTTTTCCAATTTCAATTTTTCATTCAGATATGTCAAAGCAGTCTTTAGTAAAATCACATTGTTATTGAATTGGAGTTTTGTCGCTTCTAAGTGATCTCTAAATTCCGATAGATTCAATGATTTCAAAGCTGAACTAAGACTGTGATAAACAGTTGGCAGTGGATTGGTTTTCTCAATATTATCACTTCGCTTCATAATTTTCTTCTTTTCTACTTGCTGTTTTATTTTCACTGGTATCTGCGTTTTTTTCTTTAGATTGGCTTCCTTTTCATTTAATTTTATTTTGTTGACATTTCTATTGAATGTCTGCATCAGATTTAACACATCCTCATTTTCAGAATCATTTTTATTTTCTAAAATTGCATTAAAGAAGCCATCAAAACAAAATTTCTGTCTTGAAAAGTAATGACGTAGGAAGTTTCAAATTACTTACCATGTGTCAACTTAAGCTCGCCGGATTTTGATTTTTTTGGTTTAGTGATAGTAATCCAATTCTCTTCATCCATTTTCTTCAATAAAAGATGAGTATAACAATTAAACACGAGATATTAAAATAGAACTGTGTTGCTTGAATGGGACCAGCAAAACAAATAATAGGGAAGATGACGGTGTTTTGATCAATTCATGAAAGTTTAAGTAATTTAAAATATTCCGTTAAAAAATTTATTTCTTAGCACCTAGAAGCATTTATCAATCTAGGGTAAATCATTAGCAGAAGCATTTCCCTAATTGTATATTTAAATACTCTTGCAATAACTTGAACGATATTTTCATGAACTATTGTTTAAACCACCCACAACCATAGTTCGATTGAAAATTATATTATTCGATTGGACTCAATTCCCTTTTTAAAACAAACTTATGGGATTAATGAATATCTCTTAATTTTTTTGTTTAATAATTGAAATAATGTATTTATTATATACATATTACTCAATTATATGAGACTTTTCTCTCAAAAACCTTATATTCAAAGAAGATCTTCAAATAAAAACAACGAGAAGAAATGATTTTCAATTTTCCATAAGCTGTAAGACTCTGATGAGTCTGCATGAAAATTTAAATTTTAGTTTCAAAACTCAATTTCATTCAGCAAATATGAATTTCGGTAAATTCAGAAACTGTAGAGTATTCATCTGTGCCTTATGTATTGCATTAATAAAAGCGCAATCTATGGAAAACTATGAGGATAACATTTCTTTCTTTTTATATAAACCAGATTCGTAAATATTTAGTTTGATGATTGCACATTTGTCAGTGAAAAGTATTTAATCTTTTAATAATGATCAAATTATTTCAACATTTTATAAAAGCATTGAGGAAAAAGGATGCGACCCAGAGCAATTATTCATGCTAGTACATGGATGTTAGGAAGATTCCAACACAACGTGAGAGCCAGGGACAGTAGAAAACTTGTTGCTTCATCGTGGCGGTTGTGTTTTCCTCATGGATTATTCAGCATATCCTAAAGTTCCATATAATTTTCAATTGACACCTCATTTCGATGGTTTTGCAAATGTGTTGCTTAGTAAGATTCAACTGATTGGAAACATTGAACGGCAATTTTGTTATGGATGCTTTTGATCGTTCACGTAATTTTTTCTTATCTCTTTGTGATATGCAGCTTCCTAGTAGGAAGAAGAATTTTAACTTCAGGAAATGGTTTCCATAACTACGTCGATTTTCTCTACCTCTTGCCAAAAACGTCGCATACATAAAAACAAGTCATGACAAAGGAACATGGGTTTGTAATTGCCATCAAAATTATAAAAGGATGATGTGGAGCATCCCAGGATGCTATTGCATTATTTCCTCTTGGAAATCAAGATTTCTGACCATATCTTTACATCATGGCATTCTATTATAATTTGACACCCAATAACATTTTTGAATGAACTTCAAATCGTTTAACATCAGTACAAACAAGCGATGTTAAGATGGGATGTTTGGGAGATTTTTAAAAGTAAAACATTTTTCCTTTTTCGTAATTTCTAGTTGTTGATAAGATTATTTTTTATTTATATCTGTTTGAAGAAAATTGGGACTCCTCCAATTCACATGGATCTTTTGATCTTTTTTGGTTTTTCTGATGATTATTGGATCAATTATAGAGTGGTTTTGTTGAAAGTGGTTAAACGCACCACATTTTCATTCAACTCATGGAATACTTTGTGAGTTTGAATCTGTAAGCATTGAAGACAAATTTGAAATGCAAGTAAATTTTCCATGACTTGCCGCTTTAATATTCATGGCAGCCACCATAAGCGGATATTCAGCTTTACATTTTCTTTTATTGCGGTGGTTGTCACTGCATGCTTTTACTTACTTCATCAAGGCTTTAATATACGAAATGATCCTGGTAATTATAAAATTGTAATATGTTGGATATTTGAATTCATCGCTATTAAACATGAGAATGATCATTCAAAATTTGTACACACATTTAAGAATTCTTTAGAGGAAATCAAACTCCCATTAAAATATTATTTTATTCAAAATATTTGTTTCATAGTCGTCATTAAATTATTGAAGTTTTCTTTCCAAGATTTATACTCCAGCTAAAGATTCTTGTTCCATCATAAATTAAAATATTTTTAAAGAATTAACAAGTCAAGACCCTCGGTTTTAAACAGATAACAATTACCTATTTCAATTAAGCTATAAAAATAGAAGATAAATCAAAACGATTTCTTTCTCAAGTGGGAATGAATTTTGATTAAACCTACGTGCAAATTTAATGACGAGGTTTTCTTGTTTAATCTTTTATTGAATCTTATCGAATTTCATATTCAATAAATTTATTGTTATAAAGAAACAATACAATTTGCAGTCCATTCAGTTGCGATGTCAAATTTAAACGAGAAAGAAGTAAAAGAAAAAATGTCTGAAAAGATGGCTTTCGAGAAGAGTCTCGAGATGAGCCAAAATAGAGACAATATATTTCAAAAAATCGAAATATTTGTGAATGTCGGAAATCATTGTTTACTTTCAATTGTCGTGTTTTATTTAGTTTGGTACGTTTTTCAAGATAATTTTTCGGAACTAACATGTATTCACTCGTTGTTGTGTACATTGGGATTTTTCTTCATGACTGAGGGGATTCTTTTGATGAATAAACAAAACGCTCCAACAATTTTAAATAAAGGTCGTAGAAGTATGACGAAATATCATTGGATCTTCCAAGCTTTGGGTTTTATTCTGATGGTTATTGGATCAGTTATTGAGTGGTTGTATCGGGAATGGGAAGGAAAAATACATTTCCATGCAAAACATGGAATAATCGGTAAGTGTCAGTGTCAGTTTGAAAACATGAAAGACAAATTTAAAATGCAAATTTTCCAGGACTCGTCGCTTTAATATTCATGGCGGTTACTGCCATAAGCGGATGTTCAGCTTTGTTTTCTCAGGAACTCAAAAGCATTTTGAATCCGCTTTTCAACAAATCTGCACACCACATTTTCGCAATAATTTCTTTTATTACGTTGGTTGTTGGGATATGCTTTACTTTAGTTCAACAAAACTTCACTAAACGTCACGATCCTGGTAATCTAAGAATTGTCATGTGCTGGATGCTTGGATTCATCGCTATTTTAACATTACTGGGATCGTTTAAAACTTTAAACACACATTTGAGAAGTGCTTTAAGAAAATAAACTTGTCAGAATGTCAATTTACTTTTAGGTGTCTATTCGTTTAATTTACAGATAATTATGAAGTTCATAATCACTTTAGGAAGTGTTTTCAATAATAATCCTTGTCAAAATGTCTACATAAATGTAAACTGTACCCAAATTAAAGTTTAAGTTTGAATGCCGTAAGCATTTTATGTTTTCCCACTGAATTTCTAGTGAAATTAATTATTTCCTGTTTAAATTACGTGGAAACTGAACGAAATTAAATTCTCATTATATTTTTAAAATTATTTACAAATGATAATTTGTTGTGAATTCTCTATGAATTCCGGAAAGTGATGATTGTTCAGTGAACATTGTTTCCTTGAAGTGGAAATGTTTCCTAGGTAAATATCGTCCCTTAAATATTTTTCCCCTTTGTTATTTAATGACTTGATTTTATTCGTTGTTGAAAAAATTAAATTTGGACTTCCACTGAAATAAATCATTTGATGTTTCCACAATTCAAATAGAAGTTGTGTTTTTACTTTGTTTTAGTTATCTAATGGAAAAATGAAAACATTTTTGTTGATTTACATGAATGCTTTTACAATGAGAAACTTTAAATTTTTGAAGCTTGTTCACATTTTAATTGAAAATGACGGAAAGTTTCGTTTGTTATCTGAAATTTCCAACAAAAAAAAATAAACATAATTTTCCTTAACATAATTTTACATTTTTTTTATTAAACCGGAAAAATTTATTTTTTACAAATTTTCCACTCAACTTCCAGCATAGTAAAGATTTTCATAAATTTTGAAATATTTTCTTATCTTTTAAAAACAATCTTTAAAAAGACTTCATTGAAACTTATGCGGTGTAAGTGATATTATTAAAGGAAATTGTGAAGACAGGAAATGGGAGACTAGGAAATCTGCTCTGATGACATCATGAAAAACTTAAATTACAAAATTATTAATTTAAAAATGCTTTTAATATTGAGATTAAATTATTCAGGCTGAGAATTTCATATTAAATAAATATTTAAGCTTTTCAAAAGCTTTTATTTTGATTCTCGAAAATGTTTTCATTATTTTGATGAGAGGATTATAAATTATAATCGATTAGGATAATTAAAAAGAATAATTGCGTTCAGCAAATCATTTTAAGTTATAAATAGAATTAGAAATTTATTCAAATGATAAATGATTAAAATGTTGTTCAGCTCATTTTCATTACAACGAATATGGACGAGAATTACTATAAAATGTTAATTAGAAATGTTAAAACTACTCATTAAATTAAATCATAATGAACATAAAATTTTATGCAATTTAAACATCGCAAAAATCTAATAATCGGTGATGCGTGGGCGCTGCTTTTCTGTCAATTAGAAAATTAAATATAATCGCATTTTAAGGCTAAAAAAAAGCGAAAAAATTATCAACACCCTCAAAATTTATAATCAATTAAGGTTTTATAGCCTTTAAGGCTTATGAAGCATTAAAATATTACAATGAAAAAATGTTTCATGAAATCAACTTTGACATCTTTTTTTTTTGTAAAATTCGCAATATTATTAAATGAATCATAATTATTGTTAGTATTCATAATACTTCAACAATGAATACAACGATTTTATCTTTAATTACAATCTTTTCTCTTTGAGCTTTTTTCAAATGGAAAACTTTTTCATTTTTCTCTTTTCATGTACTTTGATGAATTTTGTACATTTAATGAAAAATATGAAAAGCTCAAATTTTAAACGAATAAGTATAAAACTCCATTTGGCGTCCATTAAAATAATTCATTGGAAATCATTCGGCATGATTGACAGCAATTCTCATTGTAATATGCGTAGCCACAAAGTTTGCTTTTCAACACCATGTTACAGTTGGGAAACTCATCGCGGCAGCTTGGATCGTCATCATTTTGAATCATGTCTACGCGAGGGTCGTAAGTTGTTGTTTTTTCTATTCAAGAAACATTCAAGTTTATTTTAGTTTGTTAAATCTTAAATCAGAATTTACCTGAACAATCATGAGTGTTGCAGTATCTCATTCCAGCTGGTCTCTCTGAATATTTGCATTTCGAAGAGTCTCTCAAGATTTTATCCTTTGAATCAAGCTCAAGACATTTAATTGTTCGTCTCTGAATTCCCGACCCACAATTTTTATTGCACTGTTAAATAGTTTTATAAAAAGAAATGAAAGAAGGAAAAAAGATTTCAATTGAAAAAGTTGAGAGACGTTTTTAATTAAAACAACCTCGCTCCATTCTGACAAGTGCCATTTCGGTTTGCAATCTTTCATCTCATCGGGCTTGCAATCTTCAAATGTTGCGGGCTTCGACTTTAAATCACATTCGCTTTCCTCAGCAAAACCGTCATGTTTGATGCAAACGACTGTACGTGATTTCGATGAGTTGAAACAATCGCCCGAACATAAACTCCACGGTCCAATAAACCATTCGCCCTGACAACGAACATCACTCGTACATTCGCGATATGTATTTGGCGTCAAACGGATGTCACATCTATCTGTATGTGGGGGACTTCGATCGCAAAATATTGTACGGAACTGTTGACCAGCCCCACATTCAGACGAACATTGTTCACTCCTATAAATGTCAAATTGAACGTAATTTGATTTCATTTCATTTCATTAAAATCGAGAGTAATTAAACATTTAAATTCATTCAAACAAATTGATTATCGTTAATGAAAATGTAAACTTTACCATTCCGATACCAGCCATGATCCACTTTTTTTGCTTTTAGATGGTGCTCTGGTGCGGTTTCTAGATGTGGTCTTCTGATCATTTTGAGTGTTTCGACTGCTGATAGTGGTCTGTTGTCGATTATGTTTGTAAGTTTCAACTTTGGATGGTCGCGATGGTTTGACGCATGCACAGGGAATTGTACTGATGGGCTTATCTTCGATGCAAGCACCGCTATTAACTTGTATAACAACGCCCGATATAAGCTCTTGAACGCACTTCACCTCACGAGTTTGATTAGTTTTTTCATCGTACTCCCCGCAACGACATTTGTTATAATCTCCAATTTTCCAAAATGCTGGGCACGGCTGACTGTTGCACTTCATGAGACTCTCGTTTACGACTGGGTTCTTTAAATGGGCGCATTTCTTAGGTGAGTAAACTCGTGTGGTGTCGCCACGCACACAGCGAATTATGGGTTGTTGAGATCCACCACCGCATGATTTACTGCACGGTGTGAAGCCTATCACCTTCCATGACAGTCTTCTTCGTCTTTTACCTGTCGACGTCGTATTTGTTTGCATGTTAGCTGCTTTCAACTTGTAGTTCAACGGTAGATTATCTTCAGCCGACGAAATATAATCAACTTCAGATGTTTCTTCTGACGATGCGAGTGATGTTGGCAGAAGGTATTCATATTTTATTCCTGGATTAACTTGTTGCGAGAGAACCTAATAAAGATATAAATTTAATTAAAAGAAAGTTTTCTTTTTAGTCATCCTTACCATCAAATGTATAGGTTCAAACAAAGGGCCAGATGATGTTATCCATTCAGTTACACCGTCACTTCTTTTAGGATGATGAGAATCTTTAACACTGCCATCGAAACGATGATAATCAATTGTACTTCCAGCAGCATCGTAACTTCCGCTATGAGAAACCGTGTAATTTCCATTGATGATATATTCACCACCCGTCGACTTCAGAGCTGGAAATTTCATGAATTTGATTAATGTCTTCTATTTTCATATTTTTTTCATTCTCTTCTTAAACTTTTGGCAAACACCAGAAGGGAAAATTCCTAAAATTCAATATTTCATGACGGGTGCATTCATGAATTGCTGTCTTCAGGGATATGCTCAAATGTCAAACAAAATTGAACTTTTGTGATGGATTACTCAAAGCTTTTTACGTCACATGAAATTGATTTGAACTGAAATTAAACACAATCTGTTTACGTTTTAGATATCTGAGAGATTTCTTGAGATATTTCCATGGTAATTTCAAGTCATTGAATTTCATGAAGTGACTTGAATTAATCATCACAACGAATAGAATTTCACCGGAAAAAAAAGGTTGACGAACACCCACAGCCACTCATTATTAAAAATAAATGAAAAAAATTATGAAAACATGTTGGAAAAACCACAAAATATTTGCGACATTTTCCAGAACACTTTTTAATGAACATAGTAACAAAATTCTTCCCGCGTCTCATCATTAGAGAGTTAATGAAAATTTACGGCAATCATCAATTCACAAGGCTGTAAAAATATTTTTTTTCGCCATGCGCCAAGTAAACATTTGAAATGAGGCCACACTTGAAATTAGGAGAGTAAATTTAATTTGTGTAGGTTTTTAATGTTTTTTTAACTATCCCCAATTGTTTGTTTGTTTATTGTTCTGTTTATTAATCCTCTGTTTGTAAATTGAAAATCATAAATTGTAGTCAAATATTTGTTTTTCATGTTGTGGTGTGACGTTGTGCAACTTTATGTGGAAATTCTTAACAACGAAAACTTTCAGACGATTTGCAAATTAAACTTTCTACCCGATACAAATCGCATTATCCTTTATGTAAATGCATTTAAACAGCCAAATTTACTGGCACAAGCTTTATTCAAAGTCACTTTTTATAACATTAATCACTTCCATTCCATTTCGTGATTTGATTTTGTGTGCATTTTACCAAACATTTTCAGCGGATAAATTTAATTTATTTATTTCAAACATAGAAAAATGAAACGTCGATTTATAGTATAAATAAATGTAGAATTTGTCACGAAGCTTTAAAAAAATTGAAATTCATTTCAAGACGCTTAAAAGCAATCTGATTCATATCACAAGAAAATGAATTTCACAAATTCAATTTGAGAATAGAAGAAGAAATGTTTAAGATATTTTCCGACTAAATTTCATGAGACGTTTAATCTCACTCACCCAAAAAGTTGATGCTGTTACGTAACTCGGTGATGGTGATATTGGAAGCTCCAGCTGGTAGTGTAGTGACGTGCACGTATCCGTTTGGTAAGGGATTTTTAGCAAAAACGCCTGATATAGGTCGACAAACCGACGAACCACATCGAACATTTCCACTGTTCATAAAACCGGATCCCGATATGACACCGTTCTTTAGTACGGCCTAAGAAGAGATAAAAAAGTTCCGTATTAAAAGAGAAAGAAGAAGGTAGGAAACAAATATTGAAACTTCAGAGTCATCAGCTATGTAAACTACCGGAGAACGAATAAAACCTTAGATGAATAAAGGATGAATGAAGGCAAAGCATACGACTAAGAAGAACGAACGAAGGCTATTGAGTAGGATTAAAGTTATCTTCCATTTTTAAGAAACATACAAAATCTATACCTTCTCGAGAAGACGAGAAAAATCGTAGGAGGAATCTATGTAGACTTAAATTAAAAGCAAACAACTCTCCATTATCATACTTAAACGACACATTTGGCGTCTCGCTTCACATTCACAAAGCGGACATTTTTATGTGAATTGTAAATTCATCCTAAAAACCTTAAAAAAACTGCATAAATTATGATTTCATTCCGGAACCTTTTACAGCTTTTCAACCCTAACTGACATATGTTACAGTTCTTTGTCGTAACCCATTCACAACATTTTGCTTTTACGGTTGAAGAGCCATTGTCCGATGGGAACGAGAAAGCAAGCAAATGATGTCGGAGATAGCGACTACGCTAATCTTTCTATCATAAGGATAACATTGAATCATGAACACATTAAATGTGTTTACATTTAAATCTCTTGTTCAAAAGTATGACTAAAAGCTTTTCATATTACGTCTCCCATTTAAATATTTACATAAAGCGCATTTAAGAGACGGTAAAAAGACTTTCCTTCCATTTCGTCATCTTTTACTTCTATTTTTCATATTTTACTTTCGTCTGTTGTTTTATTTCATCTTTTGCTTCAAGAAAGCTTGAACTCAACGAGATTTGGGTCGGACTGTCCGATAGGTCGGTTCGATAAAATATTTAATTTATTTATTTTAGCTGGTTTTAGTGATAAACAAGTGAAATAAATAAGTGATCACCATACCT